TTCTGGTAGAATTCAGCAGGGAACCCATCCAGTCCCGGAGCTTTATTCCTTTCCATCTGTGAAATAGCGTAAAAAATTTCCTTCTCTGAGAAAGGCGCTGTCAAGATAGCATTTTCCTCCCGAGAAAGTTGGGGTATATCCTCAGACATATCCTCGTCCATCATGACGAAATTGGAGTCTGGGTGCCCAAACAAACGTTTATAATAATTGGTAATATATGCCTTTAGCATATCTTGACTGACAATAGTTCCTTCATCTTGTTCAAGTTGATGAATTTTCTTTTTCCTACGCTTTCCATTTGCAATCAAATGGAAAAACTTAGTATTATTGTCCCCTTCACGAACATATTTTACTTTAGCACGACGGGACCATTTTAACTCTTCCTCCCGCATAAGCTTGGCCAGAAACTCATCCGCCTCCCACTTGGCAGCACGATCTGCCATGCAGAGTGGTGAAGATTCAGCCTTGATATCTAAAGTGTTAACAATATCCATCAGACGAAAAAAGAAAAAAAGCTCCTTAATACACGGAGGTCCTCGTTGAGCCACACAGCCACACAGCAGTGACACAATCACTATGACTATAGTTTGTCAATCAATCTACCACACCATTTCGAACACTCTGAAGCTTCTAAGGAATAAACTCCATGTCGATCATCAATGCCTTGATCACCGTGATGAGGTGCCCATACACCGAGCAAGATAGTTCATCACCTAATAACACAAGGGCCTCCGAAGAGTCATACTGAACAATGATTGATACATGTGTGTGTGTGTGTGTGTGTGTGTAGACTTGCAGTACCGAGTGTCATCCCTTGCATGAGCGCATATAGCTTCACTTCCAGCACATATTGTAATTGAACACATAGCGGTAAGCCACAAAGATTACGGATCTGTCCTGTCTTGTCTGGGTGTGAAGTGAAAAAAAATCCCGTTCTGGCTGGTAACGGGCATAGACTAAAAATCGTCTTTTGTTTGGTCTTTTTGAGTCTAAATCCAAACGGAGATAGTGTTTGGAATCCAGCTCAGAACAAAAAACGAAAAAGGCGTCGAGCGGGTGCAAGCTCAAGGAGGTAGGAAGCATGGAAGAAAGTTTGATTATTTTTCACTCCACTACTCGAACGGTTAGCTATAAAAGAATAGCTCAATTCGAGAGAGAGTTGAGCTCCATCGGTTAGTTTGCAAAGGATGATGTTTCTTTCCGGTCCTACAAATTGAAACCGTTCTAGCTTGATACTGTGATACCATCAAATCATCCAACAGAGCATATAAACCATTTCGGTGGCAGTAATGGCCTCCAGTAGTTTTCTATGGAACCATAGCACTATGTTCATCTATATGATTAGACTGTGCCGCTTCAGTAGACTTTCCTGAACCATCCATTTGTTCCCGACTGTTGTGACACCACATCCTAAAGAAAAGATGGTTAAATCCAATGTGGAACCAAACAGTAAGAGAAATTAATTATGGTAATTATTAATTGAAAGCCAGCGGAACAAAGAGAATATGGAGAGTGAGTTGCAGTGAATCAATTCTAGAGGAATAATGTTGAAAGAACAACATGTTGTGTCATAACTCATAAGTATCGTGTATAGAGATTTTTCATGTATAGTCGGACGTCATAATCATCGTATATATAGATTTTTCATGTATCAACGCTTTTGATTGAATTATGAAAGTAGGATGCACTAGACTTGCACCCCTAGTTTATAATGGGCTATGTGCTTTTGACAAACTGAGGCCGGTTGATAGAATATGTGGTATTACTAATCCACGGCAACATAGTATAATCCTTTTCTTTTGCGGGGTGAAAAGATGTTTTATTCCAAAATTATAGGGTTAAAATTAAGAGACAAACGTTCCTTAATACACGGAAGTCCTTGGTTGAGCCGCACAACTGTGACATAATTACTATGACTATAGTTTGTCAATCGATCTCCCACACCATTTGGAACACTCTGAAGCTTGTAAGGAATAAACTCCATGTCAATCATCAACGCCTTCATCTCCATGAGGAGGTGCCCATATGCCGAACGAGATAGTCCATCACATGATAACACAAGAAAGGCCTCCGAAGAGGACATGCTGATTCAGCTCCTGAGCTCATCTGCTCCCCTGCGTGAACAACAAATTAAAAAATATATTCTAGAAAATTAGAAGAAAAAATTGATTTTTTTGGGCGTGGAAGATGTACGAGTATGTGATGTCCATGCCAAATTTCGTGGTGTTTGGACATCTGAGTAGCTCTCACCAAAATAAATTTGAGGTTTATGAGAAAGTTTACTGCTCACACACTGTTCGAACCGATTTTCTCTCTCTTTTTGCCACAGGCTCATGAGATGTCCGACCACATGAAATTTTGCGAGGACATCATGCATTTGAGTGTCTTGGTTGACAAAAAAATTCAGATTTTTTTGATTTTCTCTGTTTAAAAAAAAATTACTCTTCACGGGGAACAGATGAGCCTGAGCTCATAAATGAATATTCGCTTTAAAGAGTCCGATTTTGTTTTCCAATGCTTGGGCTAGCAAATTTGGATGTTCTATAGAGTGTAGAAATATTTCAACGTCGGAAATGCTAAAAACATTGGACTAGTATGAATAGTATGTAAGGCGACCCAAATACTTTCAGGCTGCACAATGATCTCCACAAAAATATTCTGTGTCACATCACGCAAAATGTGAATCCCTATTTATTGTTGCGCCAACTCTTATTTGGCGCCCGTTGCGCCTGTTAATGTGTTATTGATTTTTCTTCAAATTTGATAAATTTTTTTCAAAATGGATGAACTTTTTACCAGTTTTGATAAACTTTTTTCAAATTTGAATAACTTTTTCAAAAATTGATGAGTTTTTTTTAAATTCAATGGACTTTTTTCTCGAATTTGTAACCTTTTTTTTCCAAATTCAATGAACTTTTATCAAATTTGATGATTTTTTGTTAAATTGATGATTTTTTTTCAAAATCCATGAACTGTTCTGAACTTTTTATTTTAAAATCCATGAACATTATCTAAATTCATTTTATTTAGTTTTTGTGATTTCTTCCATTTTTTCATTGTTCCAAACAGGTCAACCTTAATTAAGCAACCATGGGAAACCAGGTGAGTGCTCGCTCGTCGTTCGGACGGCCCATAAAGTAGGTCGTGTGAGCGCCAACTACACTCTCTGGTGCTTAAGGCGTTGGGGAGGAGCTCTCTACCACAGCTTTCAGCAAAAATACCGAAATAGCGCATAGGCACGCGCAACATGGGCCAGGCGCATTACCAATCTTGCGACCCTTTTTTTCCTTTGATTTTCTGGGAGCAACTAAGGGTCATTTTTGGGGGGCTGAGAGCGCGTCACTTGGCGTGCTCTCAACCGCAGTCACATGTCGCGTGTTGGACGCTCCTTCATGATTTTTTTATGTATGTGTTTTCAAGTTTTAGATGGTTTTTTGTGGTTTTCCTAGGTTTTGGACACAAAAAACCCCGAATTTTTTTCCGTGAAAAAACACATTTTTTTCATGAGAGGCACATATATGCTTCTCGTGGAGGCACACATTTTCTTCTCATGGAGGCACAGGTTTGCTTCCGCGAGAGGGACCTCTCGAAAAATAGAAAAACATGTTTTTTGGTTCTGCGTGTGCCTCTTGAAAAAAAATAAACAAGTTTTTTTCTTTTGCAAGAGGCATATAATTTTTTCTCGTGCAGGCACAGGTTTACTTTCACGAAAGGCACAATTTTGCCTCACGGAAAGGGAATACAACGCTTTTTTTGTTCTTTCGTGAGAGGCACGGATTTGCTAGGATGGAGGCACAAATCGTGCTTGCGGCTCGGTTCTTTTTATCTTACGATTTTTTTATGAAAAAAAATTGTCGAAACCTATTAACATGAGATCTAGTTTCGAAGATCTCAGCGCGAGAAATCCAATTGTGAAAACGGTTCATGATTTGGACGAATGATTTAAGAGATAAAATATTTTGAATAAATGAATCTACGAAAAAAAGGAAAATTTACGGGTTGCGACAAGTGACGCACATGTAGTGTGTCACTTGTCGCTACCTGGGAGGTGGAAGTGACCTTTGGAAGGGGTACTGTTTACTTAGTGATTTTGGGTTTTCTTCTCTTTGTCTACTTTGTGATTTTCTTTCATGTGTTTTTATATTATTTGTTTCGTTTCTTTTCATTTCTAGTTTTTTTTTCTTTTTGAAAAATACACACTAAACATTTATTTTATGAAAAATAATGTCCAAAATTTCTCTTTCCTTCCACTTTTATGAAAACTAAGATTATTCGGCCGCTCATTTCAATGGCCCAATAAGCATTTCTGTATTGAACACGATTCAAAGATTTTTTTCACTTTTGGAAGACCTTGTGCCACCCTTCAAAAAAAGAAGACCTTACGCCATGCCCCCTATGCTGTCAAACTAATTTGCCCCTACAGGAACAAAGAAAAACATTTTGTTTTGAAGAAAAGAACAAAGAAGAACACACCAAAGGAATTCTCAGGTCAGATCGTCGCTCTGGGGAAGAAAATTTTCAATTGTTATACAAAGAACTTTGATGCTTTGCACGTACCGATGGACGCCTCCTCCTAGCATTACTCTAGCATTACTCTAGCTCATTTCTTAATCAGCTCATTTTGCGATTATCGTCAAGTAAGTCTTCATATTAAACCCCGCCGGAGATCGTGAATCCAAATATTTCTGCATTTTCTGCACGTAACCCGTCTTCTCTCCCTAGCTTTCGCCACCTGTAATTCCAGACTATCAGCTGATCATGTCCTCCCACTTTGCACACCTCGCGACGTACGTGAACACCACGTCCAAAGTCTCCACACATCACCACCCATAAGGATCCCACATTTCAATCATCCATCAACACCCCGAATCGATCCTGGATCCTCGAAGACCTTGGCGATCAACAACCGCGACATGCAATCATCGTAGCCGGCCACTCTAATCTACTCCGGCGCCAAGAAGAGACGGCGGAACGGTCAAGAACTCGATCGCCGACCGACCATGCCGAGGGAGTGCAACCCGTGCAGCGGCATGCTCGCGCTCTTCAAGGGGCGCCCGAGGGCGCAGCAGCTGTCGCAGCCGCCGAAGCCGACGCTGCTCCGCCGCGCGTTCGGCAGGATGAAGAGCAACCGCCGCCGCCGGCGCCACCGTTCCAGCAGCTTCAGCTCCGTCCGCGCGGTTTTCTGGCCGCTCATGTCCATGGGCTCGGATGTGGACCGCAGCTTCGTCGCCGACCGGCCGCCCAGGAGCTCCTCGGACGACAGCGGCGGCACCGCCATGCGCGCGCCGTCGCCGTCCCTCGACACGCCCGGCGCGGGGTCGACCACGGCCGCGCGGTTGCTCGCGATCCAGCAGGCTCAGATCAGCGAGGCCGCCGCATCGGCGTCTCCTGCCAAGCAGAGCGGCACGGCATCTGGCGCCGTGCGCGCCCCGTCGCCGTCGCTGGACGAGCAAGCCGCGTTGACGACGACGGCCGCGCGGGTGCTCGCGCTGCAGGCCCGGCTCGGCTCGGCCGCGGTATTCGCGTCGCCGACGAAGCCGATTACCACCGCAGTGCATCGTCTCAGCGACGTGGCCGCCGCCTGCGGAGACGGCGATGTGGAGGAGGCGTGCAAAGGCTTCGAGCGGCACCTGATGGAGATGCTGGTGGAGGAGGCCAAGGTGGGGGATCTCATGGACGTCGAGGAGCTGCTCGGCTGCTGGGAGAAGCTCAGGTCGCCGGTGTTCGTCCGGCTCGTCGGCCGCTTCTACGGCGACCTCTGCATGGACCTCTTCACCAACCTCGATGACGACGTGTCATCCGAGTCGTCCGACGATTCGACTGTTTGACCGCGCGCGGCGCTTCTCATGAGGGTTTCAGTTTGTTCCTATGACAGGTGGACCCGTATGTGATGATTTTATCATTTTATTATCATTTCTCCAGATTGAAGGAGAAAACTGTTTCATGCTTTTGTCCAAGGCGTGGTATGTACATCTCTTTTTCCTGTCTGAAGCATTGCTGAGAGGCTTGTTCTGCACCTAAAGAAAATGGAAATGATACATAGATAAAACTTTTGAAATCTATATTATATCTACTAATAAAGCAAGGTGCATTTTGCTAATTTTTTCATCCGTTTACCGCCGAAAAGATTTTTCTATTCGAGATGGTACTAAATTCTTATACGTTTGTCTACTAGAAAAAGAATTTTCATACATGGGCCGCGCGCTGTGGCCCAGCGAAGCCAGCCCACTTATTTTTCTGCCCACGCAGCTGGTGAAATTCGACAAATAGTCAGAGTTTCACACAGGACAACCAATAATACGCTGGCCCATTTTCCTTTTTTCTGTGTTTTACTTCTATTTTTATTTTTATCTCCCTATATCTTATTTTCACTTCCAAATTTATTTTTCTTTTATAATTTATTTCGTAAATAAAAAATTCTCAAAATACATTCAGAATTAAAAAAACAAATTTTGGAAAATATTCGAATTCAAAAACTTTGTTGCTATTTTGAAAAATATTCAGAACTTTAAAAAGTTTCCCATTTTTCAAATAAAATTGCTTTTCAAAATTGTTCAAGATTTCTAAAAAGAAAATGGCATTTTAAAAAATGCTCCAAATTCAAATACTATTCTTATTTTAGTCAAATTTTCAAAATTTAAAATAATGTTAGTGTATAAAAGATACACATTTTATAAAAGTCTTATGAATTTTCAACACGTGTTCCTGTTTAAAAAAATTTATTCACAAATTCATATAATGTTCATGCTTTTATAATAAAAAAATTGGTGTTTTCAAAAAATGTTTGTGAATTTTATAATATGTTCCTTTCATATTTTCTTCGTGTTTTTTCAAAAGTGTACATAATTTTCAAAAAACTGTTCAGGATTTAAAACATTGTTAATGTTTCCTAGAATATTCAGAAACTATATACCTTGAAATCTCCTCGATTGAAAGGATTGAAAGGAAGAGTATATTGAATAACTCATGGCTCTTCTCCTGCGTACGATAACATAACAAAACTCTTAAATGCCCTCAATCAATGAATGAAAAAATAGTGAATTGATTCCTTCACACGCGGCAAAACTGGCAAACTAAATGCTCATTTTTCATGTGCACGCAGGATTTTGCTTGCACATATAATTCTCACCGACTTTAAATGCATACTATTTTATCTCCTGTTGCAACGCATGGGCATATGTGCTAGTCCCAATAAATGGAGTAGCTTCGATCCCCCCTTGCGCGCTTGAAGCTCTACTTGCTTTGCCTTTTTTTTTGAATTGGAACATCTTGCATTCCAAGAAATCACCGTGGACCAGCAATATCGGCGGTCACCGCATCGGATACAACTCTAGGGAGGTTTACCGACCACACGTGGTAGCCGGCATTGTCGTCCCGCCTACCAATAGCCGCAAGTTCATGGGCAGGAACATTACACAAGCGAGGGCAGCAAGATACATTCCACTCAATAAAACCAAGCTGGAGGAGGTATTTGATCTCACGCAAAAGGGCGCCCAGGGTGGAACGGTCCAGAGAAGTCGTCGTGACAGCTTGCTGGATCCCGATGCAGTCCGTCTCGAAAACAACCCGTCCCATGCCATGATCTTCACTCTGCCTTTGTTTCACTCTTTCCTCAGTGGCCAGTTGATGTATTTCTTCTCCCTCTCAATCTCGTTCTCCATTTCTAGATCTGGTTGGATGCAATTTTTGGCTAGAATCCCATCTCCTTGTCCCGGTCTTAGGTAGTTATGTTGTTTTCCATGCATATGACTTTGAATCCACCCCCGACGTGTTTGTGCTTGTGTTAGTGTGGCGCATGGATTCATTTCCTGTAGGAGTTGGGTCTTTGCGTTGAGTTATGCATGGGATTTTTGTAGGTGTTTTTTTGTCTGCAATGTCGCCCCAACGAAGTAGGGATGGATTTAGGTTAGTTAGATGGTGTGTTATATTTTTCTCAAAAAAAAGATGGTGTGTTATATGGTTATATGTCTTTTTTTCATCTTCTGAAATTTGCTGCTGATAGTCTTCTAGTTAGACAGATGATTTGGTTGTTAGTTTGTGCATTATCTGTTTATCACTTGGATGTAATCTAGCCTTTGTTATAATCTGATTTGATTTTCTGTTCTAACATATGGTTAGCATTTATAGTTAAGAGATATAATAGTTTGTAGGAGTTGTCATACATTTGAGAAAAGACTTTGCCTTGAAGGATCTAGGTGATCTACATTATTTTTTGGTGTTGAAGTAAAAAGGTGAAATGTGGCATTCTCTTGACCCAAGAGAAGTATGCCTCATTATACTGGAACGTGCATTTATGATGAACTGTAAAATTTCGAACATGCCCCACTCTACTTCAGAAAACTATCCAAGGAAG